TCGTGGATTTGAAAGCAAGTAGGCTCCAAGAGACATCCGTGTTCAGCCCCCTTTCAAAATACAGATAGAAACCAGTAAAATTTTAGAAGTTATTCAGGAGGTATTACTCTCTGGGCTCTTTTTTAGGATATGAAAATTCACTTAGAAATGGAACTTTGGCAAGGACGGCCCAAGAAGCAAATTTTGGGGAAGGGAAGGCAAACCTTTTTCGGGCTGACGCAGAATAGAATTTTTTTCATGTAACCTTTCATTGCTTTCATTGCATCACTTGGAACTAACATTTCAGCTTTCACATAAGTAGTTGCCTATAGAGCTACGTCCATGTCTTCGCTCCATTGTAAATACGCGGGGACGTGCTGAAAATAGACGTAGCCGCGTAGCTCTTGAAGCCCGTTTCGAGCGCAGCCCAAATCCGAATCAAATTTTCCGGTGGTCGGGATTATCTCTAGAAAATGGTTGCAGGCGCTCCCCAGTGGCCAAACGATTGCTGATGACAGCAACTACAACTCCATGTATTTGATTGGGATTCGCAAGCTTGTCCTGGAAAGCCCAGTATTACAGCTGGTCTCCTCGATCAATTTAGCGGCATCCCCGATCAGTCGGGAGACATCTTTTCGCTGGTCTCGGTTAACGTTAAAGGTCTCGATATAAGGGCCGATTCATACTGCAGGCTAAAGCAAAGCGAACTTGGCATTACGACAGATTTAAGGTAAAAATTTGCTTCGAGTTGAAATGCGTTTAACTTTTGCGAATATTGAATCTGCTATCGGTTTTCGCGGCAAGCAAATGAGCTGGCCTTTATACTTGTATCAAGATCGAGTGCCAAATGTTTTGAGGCAACCAGAACAAATCAAAGTGCTTGTAGTTATCATAAAAAATGTGAACATGATTTCACACAAATTTTCACGAACTCTGCCGCCACGTGCATGACACAAAGTCATTCACAATCGCTTAATTTTTACCGATCCTTTGTGCAATTTTTCTACAGTCCTTTCTTTAGATTGATTATACGGGGAGAGCGCGAACGCAGTCCCCACTATCAGAAATTGTACTCCCGAGTTCCCCACGTTTGGGGGAATCGCAAGGGTCAACCCGCCCGAGTGCAATGGCTGGGCCTCGCCTTGGGAGAGCCGCCTTCTTGATCACGGTATCTCCTGAGCCAGGTAAGTATGACTTCACAGATAAAGTTATGGCCATATAGGGTCTAGGGGTATCTAACCTTGTCATGGTGGTTGTGTTGGTGTTTGAAACTGGCGCGGTAGGCAAAGCAACAATCCTGAACAGCGCATGCGCAGTTCCTTATATAATGAAAGTCGAGCGTATTGTCCAGGTGCGATAGCTCGTGGATTTAAAAGCAAGTAGGCTCCAAGAGCTATCCGTGTACAACATCTTAGCCTTTTGCGAGTGACTTTGAATAAAACATGGTACTCTGAGTTCTTTAAATTCACGGGAACAAAACAATTTGAATTCCCCTTACTAAAAGCACTGTTGCTATACCTCCCATATGATGCAAGATATGTGGGAAAGGGGGACCCCCTCTATTGAGTCTTCTTTTGCGTTGATGGAATCTTTGGAATTCCTTTCAGATTTCTGAGGGGGTGCAGTAGGCACAATAGCCTTAGGGTATACATCTTGTGCATCACCCTAGGGGGATCCCCCTTTCCCACATATCGTGCCTGGTATCATACCTCGTGATTCGGGGCAGATTTTTGCGTAGTTACGTAAGAGACGGTTGCACCAATACACTGTTCTCCAGGGAAAAGAAGGGAACAAAGGAGCCAGTCTATTCCAGACATGGTGGTCGCTATGCAAAAGCTTGCCCCGAATCACGAGGTATAGCAACAGCGTCCTTAGTCTGGAGAAATAAAATTGTTACGTTTGTGTGCAATCAAATAACTCAGTGTACCAGATTTTATTCAACTTTTTAACTCGCAAATGGCTTAATGGAAGCTGTATTAGGATGTATTACTCTACGGGCTTTTTTTTAGGTTTTGAGAATTCCCCTGAAATCTCTCACTTTAGAAATGGAACTCTGGCAAAGACGGACCGACAGGGACAGTTTTCGGAAAGGGGAGACAATTTTTTTCGGGGAGGCAAAATTGCAAGTTTTTTCATAACCTTTCATTGCTTTTCTGAGCAGAAATTGTACTTCCTTGTTCCCCACGTTTGGGGGAATCGGACGGGTCAACCCCCGCCTGAATGCAATGGCAGGGCCTCGCCTTGGGGGAACCGCCTTCTTGATCACGGTGTCTCTTGAGCCAGGTATTAAAGTGCCTGGTGTGTGCGCAATCGGTGCAGCTTGGTCCATGGGCGTTGCCAGGACTTTTTCCGTGAGGGAGGGTACCGGGTACACAAGTTTCCCCCATCGAGTGGGGAATTTCCTGAGGGCAAGTTAGGTCTAGTGGTGAAATGTTAGCTTTTTCCGTGAGGGAGGGTACACCATTTTTCCCCCATCGGGTGGGGAATTTCCTGAGGGCAACTTAGGTCAAGTGGTGAAATTTTCCGGTTGGACTAATCGGTGTCCCCGTTGCGACTCCTGTCCCATTTCACGGAGGTCTATACGACGCGACTGTTGCTACAGAAGCTTCGAGAAACTGCGTAGAATGAGCGCCACCTGTTGACAGTATTTCGAAATGTATCGTTTGTATCATTACTAAACGGCTGTTTCGTGACGCGTGATCAGTGCAAATTGTTGAACAAAATAGTTTGTGTATAAACAGCATCATGGCGTCGTCTGAAGACTTGGATGTGACACCCGAAGAACTTGAGCGCATTTCTAAAGCTCTAAAAGACGAAAAATTCAGGCAGCTCTTTGTCGAATATGCTCAAGAGATATCTGACCCCGAGAACAGAAAGAAATATGAGGAAGAAATAGCTCAGTTGGAGAAAAATCGTGGCACTGATGTGGTGTTCGTTCACCCTGAGCCTGGATACGTTATCAAAACAAACGTGAACGGGGAGCAGAAGGCGTTCATAAACGTGTGCAAGAGCGACAAAATCGCCAAACCGACCGCTGCCAATGCGCGGCGTGCCGATGGGTGCCTGGGGACGCAGTGGTCGGTGCCCCACAGCCTGGCCCCAGGCAGGGAAGACCTGGACAAGAGTGGGCAAAAGTGCGTGGTGTACGATTGTGTGTTTCATCCGGATTGTTTTCAAGCTGCCGAGAAGGAAAAGAGACTCGTGAATGTGATGGACGACACTGCTCTCAGTAGCATTGAGTCCAACTTCAACATTAAACTGGATCGACAAAATGTTACAAAAATGAAGAATTTGAAATTCAAGGGACAACCCCGACCAACTGTGCTACGAACTAAGAGCAAAAGCGGGCCGTCTGGTGAAACAGATGCCTTGAAAGATTTCAACATAGAATATCCTTACAAAGACGCTAACAAGAAAAATGCAAAGGGAGGAAGCAATCTACCTGCCAAGTCTGCTTCAAAGATTTCAGGCACGCGCAACACATCCAGTGATAATCTCTCTGATCCAATTGAGCCCAAGTACAGCATTATCCACAGAGGGCATTTTGACATGCAACATTTTACCAATGCGCCCGATTCCATGCCGACCACCCGTCCCCACGAACTCATTGTCAAGATACAGCTGCCCCTCTTAAAGTCGATAGCAACGGTCCAGCTGGATGTCTTCGAGAAGCGGATTGCCCTGGAGTGTCAGAAGCCAGCTTCTTACAAGCTCAACCTGGTCCTTCCCTATCCTGTCAACCAAGAGAAGGGAGCTGCTAAGTTTGACAAGAGCAAGTCCTGCCTGACCATCACCCTTCCCGTCCTGCCACCCGAGATTCCTGAGCTGCCATCCTTTGCTCCAGAGCCACAGGGCGTTTCTCTGGTGGAAGAAATCCCGCAGATCAATGAGACAGAAAAAGAACCAGGAGAATACTCCATCGCAGTTGAAAACAGAGACAAGGGAGCACACAAAGATGCTTCTCCAAATGAGGAAAGCGCCTGTGACCAGCTAGATAAGTCCAGAACTTTCACTAGCAGTGATGCAACAGACAATGCCGATAAAGCTCCTCCTGAAAATCAGGAGGAGCAAGGTCAGCTACCAAGTCAAGAAGAAGTCGCTCTTGAACAAGATGACAGAGAAGTTGCCGAAGAAGACAGCACTCCTGAAGAGAAAGCATCTCAGGATGCCTCATCTGAGATGGAAAGAGATGAGGAGCATTGCCCTGACTACATCTTTAGGCAAGATGATGCCACTGTATCCTTCATTCTTGATGTTACTGGCACAGACCCAGACAGTCTACAGAAACAGATTTCTGGTGACAAGACTACACTGTCACTCAAGTTCAGAAGCGAAACCCTGATCAATGGAGGTACTGTGTCTGTTCATGATGACTTTTGTTTGAGTCCAGAATTAAATTTCATTTTGCATTTGAATATTTTACAGCATGACAAAGATGCAGTCATTTCCCCTTCCTTCCCTGTGCTACCCTGCCCTTACAGATGGGATTTTTTACAATACAACTTTGTCAGTATGATTTTAAAACTCTCAAGTTTTGGTATCTTAACCCTAACCCCTGGGGTGTACTTAAAATATCATGGAAATCAGAGGATTTGAGACTGTTGGCTACTATTAACCCAACCGCCAAGCATATTGTTTGGCTTACAGTAATCAGTACTACAAAATACTAAGTAATAGCCTGAGCCTGAAGGACCTAGCACTACAAATTACTACTTCTGGCTAGGTTACTTCCATTGTTACTGGTACAGAGAACAATAAAGCCATGCATTCACAGTGCCACAGCACTGTATGGTACATTGTCTTATCTATTTTATTTTATGGCTTCAGAGAACAATAAGGTCATGTCCTCTTACAAGCAGCGACACTGATTACTACATTTTACTACAAGCAGTAATCTTTAGCATTATGTATGCTTAGGGTTAATGTCAAAGTAGCTTGGGAATCCAACCAGTCACAACTTTTTGTATGTCAACAGTTTCAAGGATTGATTTTATCAAACTTACGTTACAGTCATTGTGAGATGCATAGCCACTTGTCCAATCTAGTAATGCCTTCACCTTACAGAAAATGAAACAGATTTTCACATCAGAAGTGTCTTAATTTTACCTTGTGTGAAGTACATGTAGGGCAAAAAGTAATCAGAGAAAACATACTTGCTTGATCAATTTCATTTTGCCGTTCCCAGCTTTTGATCGGAGAAGATCCCATGAGAGCATGCCAGAGCAAAAAAGTCATGAAGATTTTACCTTTGGGCCACTCTAATTGCATCCTGTGTACATTTCATTCCCTCCTCTTTTGGGAATAAACAGAAACAGCTTCCGTGCCCTACTCGTTCTGTGTGGTGTTTGAACCTCCATGCCAAATTGGGGACATGCAGCTGGATGTGCAGGCTACAGAAACGGTCATCCTCCTACATAAAACATCAACTTGCCAGGGAGAATGGTCTCATTTCAAGGCTGGAGTGTCCCAGAACAGCTTGGAGGTAGGTCCTATATCAGAGCGTCACCGCATGCTCACCGATGCATCCTGGGAGGGGTCAGGGGATCCCAATGGGAGCCATGCAACCGTCCCCTCACTCAACCCTCCCTCCCCCCCAAAAAAAGAGCAAAAATGTTTTTAACATAGAGAGAGGTAAATGTTTTGGTTTCATTTTCCTTCCCTTGTAAAAAGCTCCAAATGTAAACATTATATTTGCGCATTGAAGCTGATTTCTTAACAGTCGGCATTAACAGCCCCATTGCTAGAAACCTTTAAGATAATTGAAACCTCTAAAATATTGCTTGAATGCATGCGCAGCTTTGGTCAACAACTGAATTGGAGACTGTAGATATGACGCCAGCTGATTTGTATCACAGCTTATCCCTATTGGTGTTGCAAAGTGTATGCATTGATGACCTGCCATGGATACGCTTGGGTGAACTTTGAACTTCCCGCTTGAACAGTGTGTACATGTATGTTTATTATGCTAATGCACTGAGTAGTGGAAGTGCTTGGTTTACAAACTGTGAGCACAATCTACAGTGAATATTACACCACACACCCCTCGGGTTTATGATTGCAACAATGGAGCTGTGTGGAAAACAGTGCGTTCTGCCTTTGTACAAGTTTCATCGTTAACTGTGAATGGTACTGTTCTTCAAGTTAAGAGGTTCTTTCCACCTGTGGTCCATGGTTACATGTACCACTATGTGGGTGCCAGTTGCGATGTAATGTCGATATGTTGGTTTGGCTGTTTACAAGGTAGGACCAGCAGGACTATTAGGCATGCATG